TGCCTTGTACTTTCTCTGATACGATAGTGCCAAAGCCAGGTTCCTCACCGTAGTTAACGTGGCGGGGTCTGTTGGCCATTGGCGCAATTTTTTTGCTAGCTCCTCACCCCCTCTCACGTTAGGGCCAGGACCGCTGCAATCCTTGCAATCTCTTTTTGGTTTTGTTTGCGTGCCGTCTTCACGCGGACCTGCAATTTTCGACCGATTCTGGCCTGGGGCCGCAGGGCGAGCCACATCAGCTAACCCGATCCGAGTGAGGGCAGGTGCTGGCCACCTTGAGACTTCTTGCTATATTAGAAGTTTCAAATTTACCATCACCACTCAGATTCTGATCCTTATCTCGTGCCCACAAAGATATGGCTTCGCACCAGATTGCAGACCAACATACCATAAGCCAGGACCTGATCTTGATTGGCATTACCTTCGCACTACTAGGTATCTTATCGCCTTCAATCCCATAAATTTCGTTCACTGATGAATGAAAACATTCTACTATAACCTAATCCACCTCCTATTCGCACTAACTCTACTCAGGTAAAAATAGGCTTCCCTGCCCCTAAGCTATTCCTCCAAAACAAGCAGCTTTCGAATGTAGTAACAGCAGGATGAAACGGCCCAGGCTGCTCTGAAGCAATCTGGCAGACAAATTCAAGCCCGGAGCCCAATAAATGCCTTATATCAGCCTTTCTCTGATCTGGGTTCCCCTTTCTCGTTCACAGATACTTCCTAAAGCAGCCATCTGACCGGATCCTATCCCCAAGTCTCCCCGGACTTCGCATCGCGAACTTACTCTTAACTAGAAACCATACATGACCACCTTAACGTGGTTCTAAACCTGGTTTATATCTAACCGCAGTTTTGTAGTATTAAGTCTAAACTAGGTTAGTCTATTAGCTTAATGTAGTTTAACTGCAAAACGCATTAATAGCTTAGCAGATCTACATGTTAGATGCAGAGATACAGCTCTTGATGCCTATAGGCAACAACAAACTAGGAAACGCCTCTTTCTTGTATTATAGGCAGACTATTATACTTTAGGCAGCAATTACTACTAATTAGTTATCACATCTGTAGATTTAATGTATTTATATAGCTATTAAGACCTTAATGTAGAATGTAAGTTACTTTAAGCACTTTTTTTAGAATATAATTTAACACTACAGCTCTTAAAACCTTTGCTTTTATTTATTTTAGCTATTTAGTTATCTAAAATTATTATATGTCTTAATCCTACACCTCTCTAAATGTTGCCTATACTGTTTTTAGAGTTAGAGATATCTAATTCTATAACTGCAGACTGTAAAACAAAGCCTGTTAACTTTTATTAAGTTATTCTTACCTATAAACTAAAGAAAGGCCTAGCTTTACTACAACTAGGTTGTAAATAATAAAGTAAAAGAAAGAGGCTATATGTCTATAAGATATATTCTAGCTAGAAAAAGACATATTTTAGTAACACTATTACCTATGTTAAGGTAAAGCATCTAGTGTTATTAATGTCTTTAGAGACTTATCTTTATGTAAGCACTTAGCAGTCTATTTTATTTATCTATACTTTTATTACTATAACATACACTTTATAGAGTAGTTTTAACTAATAAGCTTATTATAAGGCTTTAATAAGACTACTTACTTGTTATAAAGTGCCTTTTTTAGCTATTAAATAAGAGAAACTAGAGCAACTCTGCCTTACTTATAACCTTGCTATTAAGAATAAGCTAATTACTATGTAAACTATAGTTATGCAATACATTATAGTAAACTATAAGCTTTATTAAGAGTAGCTGTCTACTAGCATAATAACTACTATAAGCCCTATTTACATCTTCTTAGACCTTTAGACATTACTGCATTATTACTTAATACTTGCAGTTTGCGCATAATAAGTTAATTAAAACTATTAGCTTTAAAAGGCACTTCTAGGGCTCTTAGAGCTACGTAACAGCTACTCTAGAGAGCAGTAAGCAGTTTCTATTATAGATACTTTTAGAAAATATAATATTACATTCTAAATTAGCTATTATGTAAGTAATAATGTAATGTTAAATAATACTTATCTAAAAGCTTTATTAAAGTAATTAAAGTATAAATATAACATTAGTTATAAGTTTAATTAAGCACTTATTAAGCTAATTATCTAAGTAAATTAACTTTAATGTAAAGCATTATTAAGTCTATTATATTACTTATATTATTAATCTCTTTTTTTAAGCTTTCCTTCTTATGTCTTTCTAAGAGGCTTTTATTACTGCTTTTAAGACTACCTCTAGTGTTGCTAAAAAAGCTCTTTTTACGCAGTTTTTAAGTGTCCTTACCTCTTATTATAAATAAACTAAAGTAGAGCGCCCTTGTATAAAGAGACAAAGCAAATAATAGAAGTAGTAAGGTAGTAATATAAGCATTATCTTAGTTAAAGACTTTAATAGCGTTAAAAACATCTCTATATTACGCAAGCTTTATAATTTTACAGTCTAGCTTTAAAGTTCTATAATCTACTAGGGTCTCTAGAACAGAGCTATTAGTCTACATTTTAAAATTAATAATTAGACATAATAGTCTTCTTAGTATTAGGTTATTACATAAGCCTTAAAGAAGATAGACAAGATTAAAAGCTTTATAACTAACTATAAAAACATTCTAGGCAATAATTAGCTTTAAGCTAATAACTAGAATATTCTTAAAAAAGCTGCTTACTTTTTAGAGCTATTTACATTAGCAACTTTATATGTAGAGAAGGATAAGTTATTAATTATATAATTACTTAAGCTTATAAATCTTCTATTAACATAGTATAAAAAGCAGAAGGTTAGTATCTAGTTCTTTTTAATAAAGCTAAGTACTTATGTTTAGTAGAACTACTACTTTTTACCTAAGAACTATAATAAACGCATAATTTAAGCTATTAACATAGGCTAGTACATACTTAACAAATACTACAACAAAACAGAAGAGACACCTATATACGCTGCTGCAATACTACTTAATCTGCGCAAGCAAGCCGCCCACCTACACTAGAACTAGCTAAAAGAGTGGGTAAAGCTAGCTATTAAACTTACTAATATAATTTAGGTAAATAATTTTAAGCTTAATAGTAAACTAGGCTCTTCTCTAGCTCTAGATAACATACCTAGTATATTAACTAAACAGCTAAATAAGCCTGTAAACATCTTTATGTTATTAAAGCAAAAAATAAAAGTAAAAACTATTAGTTTATAGCTAAATAACAACTTTAAAAGCTTTATTAATAGCCTAGCTATTAATTTAAAAGATAGAGTTACTTTTTTTAAGTAGTAGTGTTAATCTAAGCAGTGTTGCAGCTATTTAGGGCTTAGCTGCATAGCTATAGCTATTCTCTCTATCCCTGCAGAATTATTAGAGCTAGAATAGACCTTCTCTAGGGCCTAAAGGACCTGTTTATAGGATAGATTGCAGTTATAATGCACTACTATTAAGATAATTAAGTGTATTAGTAATTAGATATAACAGAGGCACATTAAGCTAGTCTAGGATAGTAGAATAGGTCTACTAATTAATCTAGAGCTTTAAGAAACTCTTCTTAGTGTTGTTAATAAAGGAGCAGGTAGAATAGATTAGTATTAAAGCAAGTAACTACACTAACGCGCTTAAATTAATGTATATTTACTTAACATAGTTCTTAACGCAGTTTTTAACGCAGTTTAACACTATAATTAACATAGTATAGTTTAAACAATACTAATATGGTATGGTTTAGAGTGATTCTTAATGTGGTTCAACCATGATAGTCATGTATGCTAGAAACTTGGCGGGATATGTCGTACATCCAAAAGGTGATGCATTCCTAATAGATATCTCATGCGAAACACATCTCGCCCCAGTCGTAAGACCTTTTTGGATTGCCCGACATCATATCACCACCTGCGACCTAGTTTCAGTATCCTATGAACTGACCGCGTAGTTAAATACATGGGCATTACAATGCCCCTCGAGGTACGTCGAATTCTGGCATCCGTGGACGATAGTATTGGCGCGAAAGTCTCCTAGAATGTTCGGGCACATGGTTTGGTGATGATCTTGATACGGCGACCGGAGCCTCCCTGGATGATAAAGACCTAGCTATACCATCTTCTTATACTCTGGAAACATGATTAAGCCTATTGTCTAAATTGTTTAGTCTATAGTTGATAGGAAACGTGAGGTTTCCAACTTGTGGAGATTCTATCAGTGGGTGTGTGGACGTGGAGCGAATTCACGCGCGCGGATTTTTGGGACTCTGGTCGCTCTGCCCTTGCTCTGCATCAAGCCCGGTAACTGTACGTATTCGTCCAACTCGATGCCAATCTAATATGCGCCATAGCGAGGTCGTTCTCGGTTCTGATAGTCTTTTATTTTAGTCGAGCCACGGGACACGGTGGATGTAATACAACCCGAGTTTCTCCTAGTGTTGCAAATGGAGAGGTGGTGTGAGCATGCAGCTATGCCAGAAGCTGATGAAGTGAAGTGTATTGTATTTTGTTTAAGTGCTCTGTTGCAGAGTGTTTATTTACATCTATAACGGCAGGGGCAGTAAGGGCCATGACAATGGCCAAGGGGCCATAGTGAAGGTATTAGGTGCTATAGTAACAGCAGTAAGGGCTGTTGTGGCACAGGGAAGGAAGGTTTCTGTATCAGAAATGCGACACCTAGCGCACAAAGGAGCCTGTTTCAGTTTGCTTCAGGTACGGACGGCACCTCTAATTCTTTAGCAGTTCTGTCCGGGTACCCTGTAGTTTATCAAGGTTGCTAATTGCTTAGGTAAGTCGACCAATTGGAAGGGCGCATAGGTATGTACATTCTGTTGTACGATTTTAATCTATGTGCTTACGTATACCACCGCGCACACACCAGTCATAGCCCACTTCCCTGGTGCTGATCACTATTTGACAGCTGAGTTGTGGTCTCTCGATGGCCTAGACTCCGTCTATGCATAGCAATCGAAATACGCGCTTTACCAAGGCAACGCGGATTCTACGCAAGTGGATGATGATCCAGGGATTTAGCACTCGAGTGGATATGTCTTAGCCTACGCAGTGGATATGCAATGCGTGGATATGCTATCATTGGGCTCTCTCTAAGGCCCTCCATGCTGTTATTAATTTCTTTCCTCCCCTGCTATCAACACATAATAAAATCACCAAGGTTCCCTTCCACTGAACCTCCTCTCACAGCAACAACACTCACATTACCCCACGTGCAAAATGCTCATTTCACCTGCTGTTTTCACCCTAGTCGTGGGATCTGCGGCGGCAAGTTCTTTCCTTCCGGCCATCAACACCACTCAAGGCTCTCTTCGTGGCTCTATCTCCCCGTTCCGCTCGGGTGTTACTGTCTACAAGGGTATCCCTTTCGCAGCACCGCCAACAGGAAGCCTCCGCTGGAAAGCTCCCGAAGCAGCATCTTCGTGGGAGGGTGTGCTCAATGCAACAGAATTCGGACCGCAATGTGCGCAGAACACCTCATCGGCGGGCATATTTTCGTCGGGAAAGACAACCTACAGCGAGGACTGCCTCACCCTCAATATATGGACGCCGGCTTACAACGATACTTCGGATTTGACGTCTAAGAAACTTCCCGTCTTTGTCTGGGTCTTCGGCGGGCGTTTCGAAGGCGGATCAGCTGATGTCAAAACATACGACGGCTCTGGGTTGGCTATTAAGGATATCATTGTCGTAACGTTGAATTATAGACTTGGCGCCTTTGGTTTCCTTGCTCATCCAGATCTCTCCACCGAGTCCGGACACAACAGCTCGGGCAACTACGGCATCCTAGACCAGCAATTCGCCCTCCGCTGGGTTCAAGATAACATCGCCAACTTCGGTGGAAATCCTGACCAAGTCGTTATTGGTGGGCAATCAGCAGGATCCGCTAGTGCTTTGGATGTAATGTATAGCGGGTTGACAGAAGGCCTTGTACACGGTGTCATCGCAGAATCGGGAGCTCGTGCACCCCATGATCCCATGACCGGCGGCCTGGCCACTAGCTACCGTAACAAGACGACTGCGGAGGCTCAGGGCGTGGCGTTTCTGCAAACACTTAATGTGTCCTCTATCGCCCAGGCTCGCAATGTTTCAGAAGTCACGCTCCTTAGCAGCGGTATGAGCAGTGACACTACCTTTGACGGTACTAACTTTGCCGCCCTCTCCTCGGCGTTCATGGACCCGCCTCTTTGGCGCCCAGTCGTCGATGGATACGTGCTACCGCACAAATACGGCGAATCTCTTTGGGAAGACGCACACCTCGACGTGCCCATCCTGACGGGCAACAATAAAGATGAGTCCGGGGCGTCCCCTTCCACAAGATTTAACGTATCTGCGTACAATTCCAGTTTCAGTACTGTGTTCCAAGACTACAGCAGCAAATTCCTGGCCCTGTATCCCCCCAGCAACGACACCACCGCAGGCGAACAGGCCAACACCTTCTTCCGCGACCTTTCCCGCATTTCGACATGGAAGTGGGCTAGTGATTGGGCTGCCGGCGGAGCGAAGAGCAAAGTGTACACGTACTTCTGGACCCACGCACCAGCGGAAAACAGCGCCGCTGGAGCGTATCATGGGAGCGAGTTATGGTACACCTTCAACAATATTCCATATGCCTCGTATGATAATGCTACATGGACCACCGAGGATTACCAAATTGCAGAGACTATGTCGGGATACTGGGCCAACTTCATCCGTACCGGAAACCCAAATGGTGGAAATTTGACATACTTTCCGCCGTCGACGAGCGGGGAGGCGCAGACTATGTGGCTGGGGGATTCGTGGGGCGCGTCCAATCTGACTGCGAGTGATGAAAAGACGGAGTTTATTGTAGATTGGTTGAGCCAACTGTACGAGTACTAGAATATACATTCGCGGTGAAAGACTGCCGCAATTTAGTGTATACACAAACTTTGCCAAACGCGAAATTAAGGCACTGTTGCTATCTTGATGCCGATATATGCCTGCATGTTAGAAAATATAACATGTGCTAAGCCGAAATACATAGCTACATTAAAGAAGATCCAATCTATACATTAGAAAGAGAAGCACTTAAGGTGCGTGCAAAATATTCCTAGATAACAATTATGCAAATAGTCAAAAACTCGTACTATTTTATAAATTTATCTTAATTTTCGTTACTTCTATGTACTAGATAAGCGATAATATTCAGAAACTATACACCTTCAGAGTTAAGGAGACGGTATATACGACCTAAAAAACACGCATCCTCGCGCACAATTTAGAGCTTCTAGCAGCGGAAAAACTCTATCGTCTTCTACTTAACGCAATCAGCATTCAACTGCTCTCGAAAGTGAGTATGGAATTTATCTCAAACCTTGATCTTCGAATGCCCGCCTAGCTAAGAATACTTTCTGAAACATCAGAAGGTCAAGATGGGCGGCATAAACTCGCGCTCGGCGATATGGGTTCAAAATAACAGGAAATAGAGGGTAACAATCAAGTGAAATCTACGCTCATATAAAGCTTTTTCCGGATTTGACCTTGAGTTACGCAGGGTTATAGCGTGAGCAATGAGTCAGCAGCTTGAGTCATAGCTGTGCAAGCCTGAGCTTGCCGTGACCTAACGCGAGCTAGCGTCATTATACCTGATTCACGCCTGAGCTCACCGTAAGCTAACATGAGCTAGCGTGACTGTGCCTGATTTCCTCCCTGAGCAGCATGAACAGGGTCTGAATTTGGGCCACTATCAGTTTGTAGGGATGTGAGCTGTCGGGGATTGACTGCTCTTTCGGGACATAATCTTCCGTGACTTAGCTAGCTCCTTGACCCCTGTGCCGGCAATATTTTCCTTTTATCAACGGTCCCAGGATCGCTCGAATAGTCACATACGCTTATTTAGCAGCAGTTCCTCGAAGTTTGAATGGCGTAGGACGTTATATAGAAACCAGGTGTCAGATATGCGCACCTACTGTCAAGACAGGAGGAACGTTTGACGAAAGCTGCTACATAGTACGAGCAATAAGCTCGAACAGTATGTTGCTGCAAATTGCAGCATTTTGCAGCATTTTGCAGCATTTTGCAGCATTTTGCAGCATGTTGCAGCAAATTGCAGCAAATTGCAGCATGTTACAGCATTTTGCAGCATTTTGCAGCATTTTGCAGCATGTTGCAAGCTGGTCGCGCATAGGGCTAGTGCGCGAGGGACTCGGATCGGAAAAACAAAAGCCGAGCAACACGAGTAGAGCAGAAAAAGGATCGATAAATCAACACAATCAATACAATCAATCAATCATCCCATACATCATATCCAAACCCATCATTCATCTCAGGAAGCCCAGAAACAGTGCTTCAATCTGACACCAGGACTGATTATAGAGCTACCTATACAGTACGCTAACCTGAAATACACTGTACCCCTGTTAAGTAGACCGTGCCCTGAGAACAAATCATAGTGCAAACCGGAAACCAAATTCACTCACGACTGTATTCGCGACTTCCGCCACACCTAACACCACAGCAGCGCAAGGCAAACCAGAAGCAGCGCTGACTTTCCATCTTGAACCGCGGCATCAAACACATTTACTACTGTGTTTTAGCGTGTAATGCACGGCCTCGCGTAATGCACAGTTCTGCGCGAAGCTGTCAAAACTTCAACCACCTCTCTCTCAACCAATATGGGCAGTATTGAGGCCGCTTTGGAGTCGCTGAAATCGCTGAAACCTGGAGAATCACCAAATTATGCTGCAGTAGCTAGGCAGTATGGCGTTAATTGATCTACGCTCTCAAGGCGTCACTGACGCGTTACCCGCCCGCGTGCAGAGAAACTTGAAAATCAGCAACTACTTAGCCTAGTGCAGGAGAAAGAGCTAGTAGAGTACATTAATAGGCTTTGCGCAAGAGGTCTATCCCTTTTAAGACAGATAATTTAAAATTTTGTAATAAAAATAAGTAGTAGGTAAGCTAGTAAAAGCTAGGTTAATTAATTTATTAAAAAGCACTCTATTAACCTATTATCTTAATAGACATCTAGCATAGACGCTGCGCGTAACAAAGCTAACTTAGCATTTAAGTACTTGCTATATTTTAAGCTTGTACGCAAAAAAATTAAGCAATATAGCATAAAACCACAGCATACCTATAATATAGATAAAAAGGGCTTCCTAATTAGGGTACTGTTAAAAATAAAGCAAATCTTCTTTAAACAGCAGTATAAGCAAGGTATTAAGCAGCAGCTTATACAGAATAGCAATTGCAAGTAGATTATAATAATAGCCTACATCTACGCTAATAGCAGCTTTTTTACGCCTACACTAATCTACTAAGCTGTTTCTAACTATATATAAAACTCTTAGCTATAAGATTTTAACCTTTTTAAGCATTAAGCTTTCTTTGCCTTATTACCTATAAGTTAGATAAATAATAAACTAGGCCTAGTATAGCTTAAACATGTGTTTAATTGCAAGACTAAGGTAAAGGTGTAATAAGTGTACTAACTTTTATTTCTAGATAGCTATAGATTGCATGTTTTAATAAAGTTTATTAAGTACTGCAACAACAATAAGATCCTCCTAGCTGTATACCTGCTGCATGTAACCTATACGCTGCAGCCTTTTAATGTCTGCATGTTTAAACCTTTTTTGTTAGCCTACTTAGCTAAGCTAGCTAGCTTTATAGATAAATACTAGGGACTATTATTAATTAAGAAAAGAGACTTCTATAGCATGTTTAATAAGGCTTAGAAAATGTCCTTTAAGCATAAAACTATTCTTAGTGCTTTTAGAGTAACTAGTTTATTACTATTTAAGCTATAAGTAGTCTTAGATTAATTTTACTATAGGCAGAAAAAGTAACTATTCTCTAGTAAGAGTACTAGCTTAGCGCTTAGTGTAAAAAATTAGAAAAGGGTTAAAGGCCTTTTAGACAAGGTTGTTAGTAATCTCTATAAAAGAGATGTATAAGAGCTTAAAAAGACTGTCTAGTTATTCTTAGTGCGTTGCATCCTCCTCTAGCGTGAGCTTAAGCAGGTTAAAGATGCGCTAATTAATAAGAAGAAGCGCTGCTAGCGTAGTAAGCCTCTCCTACTAGAAGCACCTCTAGAATATTATAGTAGTGCAACTTTTTAGTCCCTAAATAAGGTCTAAGAAGCACGTTGTCACGTCGGCATAGATGCAGGACTAAACTAATCTATTAACGAGAACAATCAAGCTGTTAAGCTTGACTGTTGAGGAGGAGAGACTATATACATGCTCGGGCCCATGCCCGTCGCATCCGGCTTACCCCTCATTGCGCCACATGGCCTGATCGCCGATCGCCGATCGCGACCTTACATGTGCGACGCGCGTCAGCGTCGTCACACACGTAATTATTAGGCATAAAGAGATGCTAAGAAGAAGGCTCTATAGCTTTAAAAATAAGAGAAAGCAAAGCGTAAGGAAGCAGAGAAAGCTAAAAAGGCGCGCGCAGTTAAAAGGAAGAGGCATAGAGTAGCAATAGCAAAGAAGGCTTACCTGCAGGAGCTTAAGACAAAAGCAGCTTAACAAGAGGAGGCAGAGCTTACCTAGCAGGTTAATTAACAGCTTAAAAATAACCTCTAGCAGGTAACAAAGGGCAAGCGGAAAGCTCCTACGCCTATTGCTAGTACGCTAGAGGATTTTAATAATAATGCAGCATTAAATAAAGAGAGGGAGCTAGCATTAGGTAGGACTTAACATAGCAGGCAAATTAACCTCCCTATAAGGTATTGCATGTAAATTATTACTAGGAATAGAATCTATAGCATTTAATTAGTATTATAATAAAAAATTTATATAATCTATAATTTGTGTGAGTCTCTAGAGCTTTAAAAGTAAAAGGCGCGGATTGCCAAAATCGTGCATTACGCGAGGCCGTGCATTACGCGCTAAAACATGGTATTGTCTCGAAATTTAAGTAGATTTCAAAGCATTGATATCATGATTTATTATGAATCTGTCCTACTCATGAAGCATATAATGACATCCTCCCTTAATGGAGGCGAGTGGGAGGAGGAGGTTGGAGGGCGTATCGCTAAAACATCAACTCAATTCTTATGATTCTTCCGTTATTATATCAGAATGCAACTCTACCCCTATAAATAGCAACTTCATACATTCGATGCTTAGAAGGGAGTCAAAGAAGCTGATCGGTTTGACTACACATCCATTAATTCTTGATAAATAGTACTGAGAGGAGCCACTGTCGGCGAACGGCAGTATCATTAAATGAAGAAGAGATAGCTAAGGGCCCCCGGTTAGTGTCAATGAAGGTGCCATTCCCCGGAGAAAGTAAGTGTGTAGATGGTGCCACGAGTATCATGTGTCTGCAGTAGCGCTCCCGAACCGGCGTCCCACAGCTTGACAGTGTGGTTCTCAGCTGCCGACGCCAGTGTCTTGCCGTCTGGCGAGAAGGCTACGGCTATGACGTAGTACGTTTGGCTCTCGAGCGTCTTTCGCAGCACCCCCAGTCCGGCCGCGCGCCAGTTCATGAGGGAGCCGGAATGGGTGTTGAAGATCGCGTGGTAGCTTGGGCTAGATGTCGCGTGGGCGAGCCAGTTCTTGCGGATCAAGTATGGCACGAAGCTTTGATTTCGAAATAAAGTTCAGTTAGTCCATAGAATCATAGACATTTATCATCATGAGATGCCGTCTCTAGGTGTCTAATTTCAACCAAGGATCATCCTTGAACCGTATCCGCCGCATTAGGACAGCCTTCTCATCCGGTTTTGAGCCTGAGCAATACAGAAATGTTTCTTGTCCCTCTTGTGCCAATGCCAAGTCTCCATACACATTGGGCATCCAGCCCTTTGCAGCGCCGGTCCCCGATGGCAACGGATTCTTCTTATCAACTTTGGACACATTGACCGGGAACTGGTCGCACGATATCACAGACCACTGATGAGCTCCCTGAATGAATTGGATGTTGAAGACACATGCCACGCCTTCACGGCTGAAAGCTGCTACCTTGATTTCTGTTGCGCTTATTACAGATGCTGAGATTTTGGTGTGTGGGTGGACTCGAGGCGCAGGCCTGTTAGATGGCGGCTGGTCCGGAGATGCATTGAGCAACGCGCTCCATGCGAGCGATTTCGTCTTGGGATCGATAGAGCCGTACACAAATTTCAGGCGGTGATCCCTTGTAACAATGAACACGAAGATGTACGTCTCGTTTACCAATATTGCGATGGCTGTTCCTTTCAGACCGACTCCGAGCGGTTGGCTTCCCGCTGTTGGCCATTGAGCTACAGACAAGGTTGCGTCGTGGATTTCATTCTCATCAGCGGGCTTCGTCATGCCAAAGACGAGTACTTTGTCGGTAAATAGACAGGAGCTTATGTTGGAGAAGTGGTGGAGGTTTCCGATGTCCCATATTCCGGCACTCTCCCATGTTGGATCTGTTCCTTGGGGCTTGCTTTGACGTTTCTGGACACCGATCTTATTTTGGAGAGTCACCCAGAATAATAATGTTTCCGACTGAGGAGGAGGACTTAGGGTTGAAGGTTGAGGTTGAGGAATTGACGACTTAGAAGGAGGCGCTTCAAGTCTTGCATGAGCTGAGGAGGGGACATATGGCAAACGACTCGACAAGGGAGCGAGATCCAAACAAGGTGGAATGAGTGTATTGTAAGGTCTGAGGAGCTCGATAGAGCTCTAAGCTGACTATATACTGTACGAGATAGGAGCTATGCCTAATGAGTGAATAGTGCAGTACATGGGTATGATATCGCGTGAGACACGTGCGACACACCCCCCTAGCTTTAACAAAGTGAATACTAAAGTAAAGCTGTACAAAGAGAAATAATAGACTGCAGGTGTACAGTAGTGCACTTAAAAGCGCGAAACAGCAAAAGAAGTTAGCTTAGGCTTAGGCTTTAAAGCTAATGTTAGTAGAGTAAGCCTTTAGGGCGTTACTTAGGCAGATAAGGCCTAGTTATTTAATAAAGGCTTAATACTTTTATTAAAGTAGGAACTTAGTAAGGCTATTAGGTAGCATGTTTATAGTAGGGATTTAGTGTATGTAAATCTTTCTTTTCTAAGGCTTATAATTAATTAGAGCTATGTGCTAAGTAGTTATAGCTTACTTAAGATTATTATTATTAGTCTTAAAGTCTATAGCTGCGTTGCCTGTTTACAGATAAACCTTAATAACTAATAGTAGCTTATTATTAGAGCTATTATCTAGCGTGTTGTTAAAGTTATGTTAAGAGACTAAGTTAATATTAGTTTCTCTTTTAAAGTTGTTAACCTCTAAAATAGTTTCTAAGGTTATTTTAAAAAAAGGCATATAATAGAGGGAGCCTTACTAGCGCTTTTTATGCAGCTAATTACTAGGTCCTTTATTGCGCTTCTTAAGCTCTAAAAGCTCTTCTGTAAAATTAGTGTAATCTTTATTATTTAAGGTATTGTTTTGTGTAATAAGTTACTATATAAGGTCTTTAGCAGCTATAACTATTAGCAAAATAGATCTAATGCATAGATCTTCTGTGCACAATGCTAGGGCCTAGTAACCCCTAGTTTAAGTAGTAAAGCAGATTAGTAATTAAGTGCTATTATAAAGTTATTTATATATAAGGTTGTTTTTAAAGTTAAAATGTATATCTTGTCTTTAAGAAAGAGATATAAGACTAGTAAACATGCTAGAGATGTAGGCTACATTATTTAGGTTTATCTTAGTAGGTCCTCTAAAACCCTTTATAGTAAGTGTAACTGTGCCCTATGCTAGTATAGAAAGGTGTTAGCTGCTGGCCCTAAGTTAGTCTAATAGGGATAAGCTCTAAGTCTATTAAAAGTTAGCTAAATTATTATAAACATAGATGTCTACTCTAAGATCTAGAATCTATAAGTGCTAAAAAGAATTCTTTTTATTATCTAGCTTTATAGCATGTTTCTTACTTATAAAGTTTATTATAAAGCTTATAAAAGTAGCTGCTAATTACCTAGTGCTAGTTAAAGCATTAAGTAGATTCTAGTTAGTAGAATTATTATAAGGTTAAGTCTTAGATATTATAGTTAGATTTAGACTAGGTTAAAACTATAAGCTTTAATTATATAATTAAGTTATATAACTAGATAATTAAGTTAGCTAATAATAGTTACTATTATTACTGCCTTTTTTACATCCTCTTTCTTAGTTTAGTTAGTCTTTTAGTAGTAGAGGAAAGTCTTTATTCTTAAGCTACTTAGCTTCTGCTTTAAGCTAAAAATTACTGCTTATCTACTTATTATATTCTTACTAGAGGAAGGTAGAGATCTAGAACCCTTTAGGTCTTAGTTAAAGATTATTAATTTTATAGTTTTTAGATTTATAGCAACTTTTATAGAAGTTGCATATAAACTGCTGTTGCTGCTGTTCTAGTGTAGATAAGCGTCCTTAGTATATAGCAAAGCTGCTGTAGGTAACGCTAGGTTGCTAAGCTAGCTGTAATTATTGCTAATTTTTAAAAAACTCTAGACAGCTAGTAAGGAAATTAGGTAGATTTTTATTAGTCTATTTATGCTAGACTAGGATTAATTAGATAGCTGCTGCGCATCTAGGGTTTACGTCTAAAATTACTAACATAAAGTTATAGTGTAGTTAATATTCTGTTACATTTAGCAAGTAGACTAATTTAGCATTAATATATATGTTTCTGTACACTGTAATTTATTAGTCCTGTTTTATTTTTAATAACTACTTCCTTGCGCAGTTATATGCTGTTTATGCGCTCTACTTAAGCTACTTATTAGAGGGCTCTAGAATTACCCTTAAAGCTTTTAGCTTTTTATAAATTGTTTCTTTGTCCCTAATAATAAAGTAGTTTAATGCGTTAATAGTGCTCTTAATAAGCACATAGATGTCTAATAGAGCTTTGTGTTAAGTTTAAAATAACCTTAAATTATTACAGTAGTCTTTGTAGGCTATTATGTAGCATTGCTAATTATTAAGGTTTAGGTTAGAGACTATAGGGTTAGGACTGAGCTGGGTGCTGCCTGTATAAAACTTCGCGACCTTAGGCCTCTGTAGCATAGTGTTAACTAGGAGATTTTCTAGTAAGAGGTTTAGATTAATATACTTCTAGACATATTCTCTAGTTGCTTATGTCTTAATGCGACTAAACTAGGGCTGCTAGTTGCTCTTTTTAGTAAGCTGTACAGAGGCATTAATGTTTAAAGTCATCTTTCTGTGTGTTAATAGAGTAGGACAAAATGGTTGTTGTTTAGTTAATTAGGCTTAGCTGGTAAGCAATCTGTGATTAGTATGTTTTAGAATGGACAGAAGGTTATTGTCTAGTCAATCAGGCTCAGTTAGTAAGCAATCTGTAATTAATATGTTTTAGAATAGACAAAAGGTTATTGTCTAGTTAATTAGGCTTAAGTAGTAAGCAATCTGTGATTAATATGTTTTAGAATAGACGGAGGGTTATCGTCTGTTTGATTAGGCTTAGCTGGTGAGCAATCTGTGATTGATATGTGTAGAATGGACGGAAGGTTATTGTCTAGTTGATTAGGCTTAGTTGGTGAGCAATCTGTGATTAATATGTGTTGAGGTTCACAGGGCCCTAAAGCTAGATGCAAAAGCTAACTGTGCAGTGGTAACTAGAGAACTAGTCAGGAGCGCGACTCCGGGCTCATAACTCTTGCATGAGCTGAGGAGGGGACATATGGCAAACAACTCGACAAGGGAGCGAGATCCAAACAAGGTGGAATGAGTGTATTGTAAGGTCTGAGGAGCTCGATAGAGCTCTAAGCTGACTATATACTGTACGAGATAGGAGCTATGCCTAATGAGTGAATAGTGCAGTACATTGGTATGATATCGCGTGAGACACGTGCGACATCAAGGACTGTCCATGCTCTCAGTCTTCGTATATTTCCGCGGGGTGCAGCAGTCTTCCATTCCTTCCACGCACTCTTACCGGGTTGAAACGGATTGGAGGGTTGTGTGCTTTGACATACGACAATGTCTCCTGATCGGCTCAAAGTAAAGAGTTCGTCGCCAAGTCTTGTCAATGCTGCTTCCGGCTCCGTTTCACCAACTGAGATGCTCCTTTTCTGCCCAACTTCTCTGATCAGGACACCGGACGTCTTTCCATATTTAGAATAGACAATCGGTTTTCCAGCAATGATGCTAAACCTGGGCTCTGCCTGAGGGAATCTTGGATCACGAACGAAACTGACGTCGAAATCCCATCCGCCGATTGGTATCGAGTCCTTGTCCGTCCCACCGACCGACCTGATTACGGGGGCTTCGCTTGTATATGGCTTCACTGTTCCGGTCAAGGTGCATTGTCTTCCCACTGGCACGTACTGCACCGCTTTCCGGAAGACTTGGAATTTCTCAATCTGAAAGTGTTGAGATTTGTCCTCGTAGCGACCGCTCACTGGTACTAAGGCAAGACCTTGTTTCCTTTAGAAGGTAAAAGTTATAGTAAGGCTTTATTCTAGTTCTTATCTAACTACTACTAGAGCTTATGCATTATAAAAGATTTCCTAGTAAAGTAGAGTTTTGTTAAAGGTAACATTTATTAGGTTATCTAGTAAGTTGCTTTATTTATTAATTTTATAGTCTGTTATAATGTAATCTATTAATCTATAGTCTTTATTAGTAACTAGATAGTAATAGGGCAGCTAATTATCTAGTTAGCTAGCCCTCTATCAAAAATAGTAAAATGCGCATTAGTCTTACTAGTTACAGTCTAGCTAAGGTAGCTTCTTATATGTTATCAAGTCTTAGCAGTGCTAGCAACCTAGTTTCTTACAAGTAAATGTAATCCTGTTCTAGCGTTAGTTTGTAGTGTTTCTTTCCTAGGTAGGCCACCACCCTACGCAATGCTTAATGCTCTAATGTTAGATGCAGTAGCGTCTTAAGCAGTAGTACTAGGGGTATAGGCACTCTGCTATATCCCTGCAAACTAGGACTAGCTAGACCTGTGTCCACCTAGGGTATTCCTAGGTGTAGACCACCTGCACTAGATGTTCCTTCTATTAGCATGTTTCTATATTATAGGAAGTGCTCCCACATACAACGCACCTCTTGTTATTCTGCCTAAAAGCTAGCGCGTTTTAACTAGCTACTAGGGATAAGAGCAGGGTTCTAGGTCTTTCTATACAGGGGGTTAGAACTTTACAGGCTGTTCTTCTAAAGTTCTTTTACTTTTATTAATCTCTAATAGCCTTAAAAAATTCCTACTAGTCCTTCTTTATTAAGAGGTTATAGAGTGCTTTTGCTATTTATTAGATAGCCTTATAGGTTGCATAGTTATTTCCTATACATACCTTATCGTTTGCTATAGGACAGTAGTCCTAATAGTTATAGCGCTCTCTGCATTTCTAGCACAAGCATCGCTAGAATTGTTAGTAAGTTCCTCTATAGAGATTCTTACTGTTAGGTAGTTAAGAGGAAATTATTCTTAGACTTAGGTACTAGTTCTATATCCTTTAAAAATCCCTACTTCCTGCAACGCCTAATTCAGGCTATAGAAGTCTTAGAACTCTACTTCCTAATACAGTATAAAGTAATTAGTAAAGGGATAGTTTCTGTTTCATCTCTAGCAGAGAGAGGATTTAACCTTTTTTTTATCTCTTCTTCTGTAAGACTGTGTTCTAAAGTAATAGCTTTTATTATTATAGTAGTATTTTTATTCTCTACCTTCTTAAAGTCTAGGAATCTCTAATAGAAGTAGCCTACTTTTCTACAGTTTAGGCAGGCTTTATTCTAAAGTTACTTCTTTTACTTCTTTATTAGCAGTAGCCTATCACCTTTTTTAGAAGCTCTACTCTTCGTTTAGAAGGTACTATGTGTGTGCTTTACGTGGCTTAGGTCTATTAGCTTTTTGTTATAGCAGGGTACTTCTTTCTTCTTAGAGGTTAGCTTAAGCCTCTAAGTTGTTCTACTAGGCCTTTTTTCTTACTCTAGTTTCTTATAACAGTTGTTGTAGGTTGCTGCTTATTTAATAAATTTTTTTTAAAGTAGTTAGTTTTCTATTATGCATAACTTTATCTTTATCTTTAATTATTTTATAGAGTCCTTTATAAAACATTCTATAAAGGGCCTTTTAGTCTGTCTATCTACAGATAGCTAACTGTTTACAGAACTGTGTAGCATAATGCTATACTGTTCTTTTTCCTTGTTGCAGGGTGTTTATTTTATCTACTACTATTTTTTCTTTATCTATTGTAAGGACGGAGCTCTGTACCACTACGCCAATACAACTAAAAAGGTGCGAATAATCAACCAACGTTAATTATTGCGTACAGAATAGTATATATACCCGTCGCACGTAAGCACCATCTCGGCCTTACACGTAAGCGCTATCCCAGCCTTACATCTATAAGTCTATAGATTATAGTAAGAGCTTTCTTAAAAGAATCTATGCTGTTAAATACCTTCTTTGTTTTAGGTAGAAGTGTATAGCTATTTACTTTAAAATTTATCTAGTTATTAGCATAGAGTTAGAACTAAACAGCAGGTAGTCTAATAAGATAAAGTTCTATCTACAAGATTATTTCTTTATAGAACTAAAATGCTTCTTAATTGTACTGCATGTACAGATAGCATTACATAAAAAAGAGCCTAAGATCCTTTAAATTTCTAGTAAAAAGTTTAGAAAGAGATAGTCTTAAAGTTTTTTTAGCTTCTATACTTATCTTTTTTTAAAAAGAATTTTAAAGGTTTGTAAGTTCTAGCTATAAGACTTAGATCTATAAGTTTGTAGTTTAGAGTTCTAGAGTTTATGCTAATTATGCTAGCATTTATTTTCGATTATTTATTTCTTATTTTATTACTCTAAGCTTACGTAGCTTGTTCTACATGCTATTTAATTACTTAATTAGAGCTTCTTTATTTAGTGTTAGAGTTTAGCCTGTTCTAGAGGGGCCAGCGCTAATTATCCCTATGTTAGTTATAGTTTGTTAAGAGTTTATACTTTATTAAAAGAGGTAGTAATTAATGTTATAATCTTTGCTTAGTAGGGTTCTTTTAGATGCTGCAAGCACGCAGGCTAGTAGGTAGGTTAAGAAGGTGGAAAGGGGAACCTGCCTTAGATGTACAGTCTTTAGTGTAGTTTAGGTACAGAGAGGATAGAGCGGCTAGATTGTGATTTAGACTTAGACAGCAGTATAAGGCGCTCCTAGTCAAACAGTTTATAGGAACAAGAGTAGAGGTGTATATAGTGCAAGATACACAATTAGTATTATAGCTTATTAGAAAGCTAGAATGCTACTTAGTCTATAAAAAATAAACTAAATGTTAATCACCCCTCTAAGGGTTAGTTAACTATAGTCTTATATACACTTATATTTATGCATTATTTATAGCCTTAGCTTACTAAGCGTTGCAATTATTACGCTCTATTATGTAGTAATTACAGCCTTAGCTTGCTAAGCGTTGCAATTATTGTAATCTATTATGTAGTAATTAGTTACACCCTTAGCTTACTAAGCGTTGCGATTATTGCAATCCCTAGCAGGGCTTCCCTATTAGACAACACACTTATCTATGGCCTGCTCAAAGGGATCAGGACCGGAGGGCGCCGTGGGGTCCTCCGGTTCCTCCCATTCGAGCATGAAGAGGTTCCAAGCTTGATCGTCTAGGCAGTGGGGCCTGTTACTAGGGTTCCGTCTGGTCCACTCGTGGACTGTAACACATACGTTAGTAGTTTTTAAGCTATATATTATACAAAAGCTTTTAATAGCAGGATACTATATAGAGTAAAGTTATAAATACTTTAAATAATTAGTTTCTCTTCTAGGTTTATAAAGTATTTTAAGTTTAAATTATATATCTTCTCCTATGTAGGTTGTTTGTACGTTATGTTGTTAAAAAATTATACGTTACTGCTGCAGAGGCGTTGTAGTAGAGTTGCTAGTCTGCTTACTTAGGTAGTCTATGTGAGAGGTATCAAGCAGGAAGCACGAGGCACAGAGAGGGAATGCTGGATAGGGGGTGTGTAGCAGAGCTACAAGAGAGAGAGTAAACCTTAGGGCCGGACGCAGAGGTACAGAGGCCGAGGAGCTTATATACCCCGTGCTAAGCCTAGGGTACTCAGGGTTGGATAGCTGTAATATAACTGTTACAGTCCGCTCACTTATAAAACACGTTAAAAAAGTTGTATACTTTTTAGTAAATACTCTTTTTACATTAGTTAATTTTTATAAGTTAGTTATATAGTTATGTTTTCAACGTTTACTATTACATCTTTAAACAAGTGTAGTTTTATAGACTTTATAAATGTAACAGCGCAGGCAAGACAACATGTTCAAATGCGGTGTGAATCTACTTAGAGGTATATAAGAGTGCGTAGGGACTTAGAAACTTAGGAATTCTATTAACACCTATAGGCCTTGTACAAAAGAATATTAGAAAACCACTTAGCTAGCTAGGAGGAGAGGTGCAACTAAATATTTAGGGGGATAGAGGTATAGCAGGGGCTAGGGCAGGGTTGGGGCAGATGCAAGGAACCTTTAGATATAGGTTTGTTAGGTAACCCGAGATGAAACGATTTAAGCACATTGTTACAATAAATTGCTATAACTAGTAGCTTAAATACTTAAAAAGCTTAAGGTATTTAACTTTTTTTGTTAGTGTGTTAAAAGTAAATTAAGCAGATGCGTTATATATTAATAAAGGTGCTGAACTTTAGTTCAAGAGACTATTTGCTTGTGTAGACCGCTCACTTGTGAAAGAGGTTAACTTTAAACACGCTTTTAATACTTGCCTAATGATGGCTAATTAGAGTTTAAAATGGTAGGAAAATTCACCTTTTAAGACTTACTACAGCCTATAATAGGGATCTCTATATCTGTAAGTAACAGCTTAAAAAGCTCCAACGTCCTTACTGCTCAGGTGACTGCTACGTTCACGTAGTATATGTACTACCTACTGGTGACAGCGCTGTCAAAGATAGCGAGTGTAAGGACAGAGCTCTGTACCACTGCGCCAATACAACCAAAAAGGTGCGAATAATCAACCAACAGTTCATTTGCGTACAGAATAGTATATATACCTGTCGCGCGTAAGGACCGTCGTACAATCCGTTTCCGGCCTTACGGTGCATTATCCTTTGTAAGGGCTAATGGCCTTACAGCGAGAGCATTCATGTTAACTATGTTAGAGCACCCACTTTTCGTGTATCACTAGATGAGGTTGTGAAGCATTGATCAGGTTTAGATTTAAAGAGGGACGAAGGAGGCATATCCGCTGATGGAGAGGAATCCGGTCGGAGGTAGATAGTCGTGTCTATTGTTGTTCAATAATGGGAACGCGCATGTGTACTGTATTGGACTTGAAATAGCTTTAGAAAGCGAAGTTGATATATATGTGCAATGTAATTATATACTTTTGTCGCCTTGCGTTACATTCTCTTTGACAGTTGATTTCTAGAGTCTTGTGATCAAGATTTATAAACTGCTATTTTTCCAGCCTTGTATCTCGTCGAGGGTAAGAACATAGTCGCTGCTGTAGACACTCTTAAGGAGATCCAGGCTATTCCATGACCCTCCAGATATGTAATCGCCGCTCCAGACACAGAAGTAAACCCAGTCGGCTTGGTAGGCTTGGAGTTGAACAGGGTCCATAACGGAGCCAATCTCAGCTGCGCCGATAATCTTTGTATCGTTTGTAAGCGCAAGAAGATTGTTGTAGGTTGCTGATATAGGCTATAGAATAATACTGTTAGTTCCAACATCCTCATATTCATAGCAGGGGTGAAGGTATAAAACCTTAGATTTGTAGACGTACCCCGTGATCACCTTGGGTGTATGTGTCCGCGCTCACAATATCCACTGTCTCGCTGCCAGGGTACCAACTCTGCTTAATAGAGTTCCATTCCCAGATCAAATTGTTCAAACCATGCCGCTTCGTGAGGCGATCATACATTATACCCCACAACTTCTTCGCTGGCTCCGGGCCCTTCGCACCCCACCAGAACCAGCCTCCTTCTGCCTCGTGGAGTGGCCTCCAGATGACCGGGACACTTGCATTTTGCAATTTCTTTAATTGAACCGCAATGGTATCGATGTCCTTTAGTAGAAGCGTGTAATTCGCATTGGTCGTATCAGCCAATGCGGCCTCGATGTTGAAGTCTGTTGCGTCGGTATAAAATCCACTATACCACCGATGATCTGCAGTGTCGTACAGTCCAACGGGCGCCCCCCAGTGCCAGCAGAACGTCACAATCCCCCCTTTCTTTGCGAAATCGATGGCTTTGTCAACATCAGTGGACACGGCTCCACGAGAAATGCGCGACTCGGTGTAGTCCATTAGATCAAGCCCAAGGATCGCCGGTGTCTTGCCGACATTTTGAGTCACCCAATCTAGCGACGCTTGGTCCTGTTGGCCAGAGAGGGTTTTCTTCCCATAAATGCTCCCAAGGAACTTCAGCAAGGCTCTTGTGTCGCTGTTCGCATTCGTATTAACGGGAACTGTGGTAGTTTGATGAGGGCCAGGTTTTGCCGCAGGGGAGAGTGTAATCGCATCGATGAGGTACCTAGAACGCATAAGCTCTCGTTGTAGCGGGGGGGGGGGGGGTAAACTACCAGCCCCAGTTGTTCTGAATCTGGATCGTGTTCGAGCCGGTATTGAGAAGCACCTGGCCAGCTGGAACGGTCACCCAGGCTGAAGTGGCCGGAAGAGAGACTTGCGATCCTCCCGCATTGTTTAGAACAACGTAGGTATATTTATCCCCGTAAGGACCATTGTAAATGATCTTTAGATCATACAGTTGGGAAGTGGTGCTGTTTATAGTAAACGTGATGGAATCGGACGCCGTATCGAAGCCTTCTACATATCCAGTACCTGAAACCAATTAGATCCTGTTTCACTCTGTTTGAGGCAGAAATTTTCTCACCCGAAAACCCAGCAACTGAAGCACCAATCGTGACCCCCGACAGTGTAGCAGCTTCTGCTTGGTAAGTAGTAGCCTGCGCGACGGCTACGCTAGCAACAGCTAACGTGTTGAGTGCGACTCGCAGAATCATTGTATTAGAATATGCAAATGGATGCAACGTCTACAGCACTGCTCAAGGCCCTGTCACACTCCCTATATGAGGAAGATTTCTGCGTTATTTTCGTTGCTCTAGACTCTGGCGGCTTTTCTAAGCGGTGCGGTCAACTGGCCCGAGACTGAAATGAAATGGTCGAGGTCACGCCGAGGCGGATGAGACTTCCGATGATAGAACAAGGAGAAGCTACAATCAGCCTGACTTACAAAATACTATGTAATAGTGGCAGCGCGGCATAAATTTCGGATAGATTGCTTTAATATTGCAGGGCTAGGGATAGTGACCGAGAACCCGGTAAGCGAGCCGCTCAAGGAGGCAGATCCGAATCATACTTTCCACCTCTAATAAAACAAGCTTCCTTCCAAGCTTCATCTGAACTCGTGGTCCGTACCAATTAGATCAAATTTGATACGCCGGATCCCCCTCCGCGAATTGGGGTAGGAAAGAGGCAAGCACCTTGATTAAGAAGCCGTTGCAAGGTTAGGCGTTTTAGATGTCATTAAAGTTAGCGTAAGACGCAGGGCGAGAAATGGCACAACACTCCCAGATAAGATCGTTAGCTTTCAGGTCTAATGCAGACTATTGAACATAGATATTTAGGCGGGGATGAAAATTCCCGACAACGCTAGGAGGTAGACTATCCCGCGGTGCGTCGAATGTCTCCTCTAGTACCGACCTTTAGAGAAAATAGACAACAAAGAATAAATACAATTACACATAACATACACTATAGACAAGTTGCTTACACACCTAAGTTACTTACCTTTGCTAAGACTCTACTAAGCTGCTTTTTCTACACTAATACATTTCTAATTACACTACTTAGACATGCTAAAAAAATGTTAAATATAGCTTACACTTTAGGCCTTTAAATATAATATAACACTTTTAAGGTAATATTTTATAGCTATATATAACGTACCTAACAGGTTGGCCGGCCACACAGGTTGGCCGGCCACTTTTGCTAAGCCCCTACCACACTCTACCTATTTACATAATGCCTTAATAACAACACTAGATTAAATCTTCTAAAGAACATTAGATATAGCTTACTCTTTAAGCTTTTAAATAAGACTTAAAACTCTTCTTATAACACACTGCAGCTATTTATAATGTTTTTTACACAACACTAAGTAATTAACGCGCTATACAGCCTTTAGAAGTAAAATGTAAGCCTAAATTAAAAAATCTAACTAAGCTTAAAAAAAAGGTAGTTATTAAGTATATACTTAAGCTTATTACACATAAATTTCCTTCTAGGCTTACAGCTGTAGCTAATATAGCTAATTCCTTGCGCGCAGAGCGCAATCTAGGCTAGGTTAGCTTAAACTAGCCTAGTATATAAGTTAAGCACTGCTCTAAGTTTATAATAAAGTTTAATTATAAGTATAATTATAAAAAAGCACTTTATAAGAATCTAGAGGTTATTTAGGGCTAGTTTTGCCTAGTAGCTAACATAAAAGCTTAGTATAGTATTTAGAATAAAGACATGTATAACTTTAACAAGTTAGGCTTTATAATAGGCTAGATATTAACTAGAGCAGTTATTATAGCTTTAGAGAGATAAAAATAGCTAAAAGTAATATAGTAAAGTAATAAAAAGTAAATAATAGTTATCTAGAGCATTAATGTAATAAAGTAGGCTATTTTACTTTTTATTATTTTTAAAAGCTGCTATTACCTTTTTACTTAGTATAAAAAGAAGAATCTACTTTAAAACTAGGTTATTATAGTCTCTAAGAATAGCTAGATAATAAATAAGCTTAGGCTATAGTAGTTAAAGCACTTTCATAAGCATATAAAAAGAAAAGTTATAAGCGCTTATTAGCTTTTTATTATTAATAGCTATAAAAAATATAACTTACTTAATTTCTAGTAGTACTATAAAAAAAATAAGATTATTACTATTTATATACTTTTACACTTATTACACCTCTTACAGCCTTTTAATGTAGGTTGTTTTACCCCTTTAAAAAAAGTGTATAAGCGCTAAGCTAAAGATCTTATATGTAACTAAATTACTTATATTATAAAACTTAAGTTTTTACTATGCTTTATACACACTTATAATATAGTAATTACTTCTAGTAATATCTAAGAAAGGTTTTAAAGCGCTAGTTTAGTTTTATTTAACTTAGAATAAGTTAAAATAGCCCTTAACATCTAGTTATGTACTTTATTACTACTACTACTTATTAATAATAAGCTTTAGTAGTTATAAACCTTAAGTAATACTTTTAAATTTAGGTTGTAATTAATGCTTATAAAAGTAAAAATATTAGAGGTATATAAATAGCTTACTAACATCTATAGTAAACGCCTTTAAAAAGGTTTTAAAGAGGGCAGCAATTATTACGCATAAGCTAGTGTTAGTGTAAAAGAAAATTATAAAGCTTTTAGTAGTAAATAAAGCTGCTATGTAACATAAATTACATAAAAGAAAGTAAATTTAGGTAGAAAAAACTTTAATAGTTAAGGATAGAGCTTATCTAACTACTTTAAAGAAGTTTAGAGCGCGTAGTAATAGGAAGAAGCTAAAAACATAAGTGCACGCTAAAGAAAGTAAGCTAAGTTAAAGGTAATATAGGCAGTACAATTAGACTAGGCATAACTTATATATATGTAAGAAAGTAGTAGAAGTAGACTCTAAATAATATCTTGTGTTATATTACTTTATATAGGGCTAAAGTAGGCTGTTTTGCGCTAGAATAGGGTAGTTTTAGTAGGGGCTTGGCAAAAGTAGCCGGCCAACCCGTGTGGCCGGCTAACCTGTTAGGTACGTTACTTTTTTTAAAAAAATAATAAATAACTAGTACACTAAATAACTTTTATAAGCTAATTCTATAGGTAACTTATAAAGGCTATTGAATAATAAAAAGTAAGTTATTATTAAGTATATACTTAAGATATAACGTACCTAACGGGTTGGCCGGCCACACGGGTTGGCCGGCCACTTTTGCCAAGCCCCTACTAAAACCACCCTATTCTCTCCTAAAACAGCCTACTTTAGCCCTATATAAAGTAATATAATACAAAATATTATTTAGAGTCTACTTCTGCTACTTACTTACATGTACATAAGTTATGCCTAGTTTAATTGCACTACCTGCATTGCCTTTAACTTAGCTTACCTTTTTTAGCGTGCACCTATGTTTTTAGCTTCTTTCTATTACTACGCGCTCTAAACTTCTTTAGAGCAGTTAGACAAGCTCTATCTTTAACTATTAAAGTCTTTTCTGCCTAAATCTACTTCCTTTTATGTAATCTATGTTACATAGCAGCCTTATTTACTACTTAAAGCTTTATAATCTTATAGCCTACTTTATTACATTAATGCTCTAGATAACTATTGTCTACTTTTTATTACCTTACTATATTGCCTTTAGCTGTTTTTGTCTCTTTAAAGCTATAATAACTGCTCTAGTTAATATCTAGCCTATTATAAAGCTTAACTTATTAAAGTTATACCTGTCTTTATCTTAGATACTGTACTTAGCTTTTATGTTAGCTACTAGGCAAAACTAGCCTTAAATAACCTTTAGATCTTTGTAGAGCACTCTTTTATAATTATACTTATAATTAAACTTTATTATAAACTTAGAGTAGTGCTTAACCTATATACTAGTCTAGTTTAAGCTAACCTAGCCTAGATTACACTCTACAGGTAAGAAATTAGCTATATTAGCTATAGCTGTAAGCCTAAGGGGAAATCTGCGTGTAATAAGCTTAAGTATGTACTTAACAACTACTTTTTTTTTAAGCTTAGTTAGATTCCTTAATTTAGGCTAGCATTCTGCTTATAAAGGCTGTCTAGCGTGTTAATTGCTTAGTGTTGTGTAAAAGACATTATAGATAGCTACAGCGCGTTATAAGAAAAGTTTTAAGTCTTATTTAAAAGCCTAAAGAGCAAGCTATATCTAACATTCTTTAGAAGATTTAATCTAGTGTTGTTGTTAAGGCATTATGTAGATAGGTAGAGTTTAGTAGGGGCTTGGCAAAAGTGGCCGGCCAACCTGTTAGGTACGTTATATGTAGAGTTTTTTTATTAGCTAGTAGCTATAGCTAATATAGCTAATTCCTTACACGCTAACTATTATTCTAGGCTATATTAGTATAAACTAGCCTAGTGTATTTATAAAGTGTTATTTAAAGCTTAAAGTAAAGTTTTAAGTATAAGTATAGTTAGTAAATATTTAGCTTATTATAAAGCTTATTTTATTAAAGTAATATTTGTTACTATTTTAAATACTATACTTAGCTTTAATATTTTTTATAAGTCTAAACTAGCTTTAAATTACTTTAGAAAATTTATAAAAAGCTTTTTTATTACAGAGTAAGCTTGCAAGTAAAGTAATAGTTGAAAGTAAACAATAGCTAGCTAATTCTTAGCCTTAATTAGGTTTAGCAAAATTCCCTCTTTAGGAACCCAAGGTTTATGCGAATTTAAGATTAGTTATCTTAAAATTAGTTAATTGTTGGCTTTAATTAAGGGAACGCGTTCTAGCCCTAGCTCGACACGTTCCCGCCCCCGACACGTTCTCGCCCCTAACACGTTCTTGCGCCTGCAACAGTCTTCCTCTTCTTTGCACCTTGCAGTCCCTAGCGTTGCGCCTGTTCCTTTTGTAATACTTACACACTGTTATATTAAACTATTTAGTCTATAGACTAGATCTTATTAACCTCTAGTTAACTAAAGCCTTTAGGTTTAGAACTTCTTATCCCCTGTGATTAGGATTGCCTTTAGAAAAGTTATAAAGAATGCGCTAAGGTAGAAACTTAGAGACTACTAATAACTTATTAGGATTAGAGACAACTGCTAATGCCTAACTTTTAACCCCTAACTACTAACTACCACCCTGTTAACAGCTGAACCTGCGTCTGCAGGACCTAAAGCTAGACCCACCTAATTTAGAGTTAACCTCTAGCAGTATATCTATGCTTAATTACAAGCACAGCTTAAGCAGCTGATCTACTAA